TGTGTGTGTGTGTGTGTGTGTGTGTGACTAGCTCAGAGAAGTCACAGACAAGGAATCTTCAAGGAAAAATAATGCCTCAGTTGCCAGGGTTTTACAATGTGTCAGACACTCTAGATTATTTTACTTGCTCTTGACCAGCAACTCTCTGAGGCCAGCAAGGCATGGGCTACTAGCCGTACTTGACAAACATGGGGAAAAGCACAGGAAGTGGAGCGGGTGAGGGCAGAGCACCCTGTAGAATCTCGCAGTCGGAAGGGGCCTTCAGGTCACCCAGTGTCACCACTCACTCCAGCAGGAGCTCTCAGAACCCGAGTCAGGTGAGGCCCTGTGCTGCCTCCCCAGAGATTCTGAGTCAGGCTGTGTGCTGGAGCCCAGGCAGCCCCATGTTAACGAGCTAATTGTGATGCTCCCTGACATTTGACAGCCTCTGCTGCAAAGCAGGCACACCTTCCTTTCAGTCAGCGATGTGTGTGTTTCCAGTATTGTAGGTGGGGACCAGATAGATGTGAGTGATGTGACTCGGATCTGGGGCCAACCCTTAAGATTTAATGGCTTGATGGGGAGAGACAAGCAGAGGAAGATGCTAGAATGGGATACTTAAAGAGCCACGGGAGCTAGAGGGCGGCACACGGCTGTGCTTGGGGACCCTGAGGAAGACCTTACCCCAGCAGCGCAGCAGGAGCTGACCTCTGAAGTAGAGTTCTCCATCCTTCTGCAACCCAGGCATAAGGAACCCTGTGTGCAAAGCATGGAGGTGGGAGGGTCCAGCACAGATGTGGTTAGAAAGGCAAGCCAGGGCTGGGTGGGAAGAACCGGCCATGCTAACCTCGGTTTTGAAGAACGAGAAGGGGGAGTCAGGTGGTCGTCCGTTTCTCTGGGCTCCCCCTACTCCTAGCTGGCCCTGTGTCCTTCTAAGTCAGTGGGGGTACAAATAAGCATTTGATCAGGGCTCTCTAGGCCATAAAAGAGATCCCAGCAAAAAGCCCTGGGGACACAGAGGAAGGAGCAATGAATTCCAACCTAGTGTCTGGAAAGATTTCATAGAGGAGGTGACACTTAAGCTGAACCTTAAAAGATGCAATGGACAGGAAAATGGCGCTATCCCAGCTGAGCAAACAGCGTGTGGAGAGGCCCAGAAGCCCAGGGGCTGGAGGGTTGTCTGATGTGGTATGAGGGTTGCTGGTGAGGTGGGAAACTTGGGCTGAGCCAGATCATGCCCTCCTTAACCAGGGAGTGGTGCTTGAACAGAGAATGGCGATTTTTATTCTTATTCCATGTCTTGGGCCACCACTAATCCAATGGGGCCTCTTTAAGAAGCGGAGGGGGGCACCCTGGCCTGTGGGTGGGCCAGGGCTTGGCTAGTGAAGTGCAGTGGCGTCGCAGCCCCCTCCTGCCTGTGCCTTTGTGCAGGGCACAGCTGCTCACCTGCAGCAGCCCCGGCTGCACATCCTGGAAGGCTTTTGAGCAGCTCAGTGTCGCAGCTTGGTCTGGGCCCTGTGGCAGTCACCTGAGAAGGAAGGAGCAGTTACAGTGTGGAGTGGGCAGAGAGGAGAGGAAGAGGGAAGCAGTTGAAGTCGATTTGAACAGGAAGAGGAGCAGGGAGGTGGTTCCTGGGAAGTGCCCACAGCTTGGTGGACCCAGGCGTGACTGGGTGGTCAGAGCAGAGGGCAGAGGAAGTGAGTACAAGGCCCCACCCCTGGCATGCTCCTGACTCTTCCCTCACCCACCCCCAGAGCTGGGGGACCTTCCTCTTGTCCGCCTGGATTTCTCCTGTAACCGTGTCTCCCGCATCCCGGTCTCCTTCTGCCGCCTCAGGCACCTGCAGGTCATTCTGTTGGACAGCAACCCCCTGCAAAGCCCACCTGCCCAGGTGAGGGGTGGTCCTGGGCTGGGCTGCAGGGACATGGCTGAGGACAGGCAAGAGTTGGGGGCATGGGTCCCTTTGGTAGTCAAGCAGGATCTAGGGAGCCCCCCTCCCTTCCCCTAACTAATTACCCCCATGCACCTCCACACCTAGATCTGCCTGAAAGGGAAACTTCACATCTTCAAGTATTTGTCAACAGAGGCTGGGCGGCGAGGGGGGTCTACACTGGGGGACCTGGCCCCATCCCGTCCCCCGAGTTTCAGTCCCTGGTAAGTTCCAAGTGGGAAGGAAGGAGGCCCCCAGATACTTAAACCACTTCCTGGCACCAGGGACCCCATGGTTTCCAGGGGGAGCGTGAAGGGGTTGATGCCCGGAATAGGACTGACCAGCTCTCCCTGGCTGGCCCCAGTCCAGCCGAGGACTTGTTTCCAGGACGTCGGTACGATGGTGGGCTGGACTCAGGCTTCCACAGCGTTGACAGTGGCAGCAAGAGGTGGTCTGGAAATGAGGTAAGGGCCTCCTTTCCAAGGGACACTGTGGATCTCAGCCCCAGGGAGAGCCTTTGAGCCAGGACCCTTTGCCTGTCAATCTCAGAGTGATAGCTGGTGGCCAGAGCTGTCCTCTCCTTCCCTTGCCCAAGTATCTCAGGGAAGGGCTGGCTCAGCAGCAGAGCCTGAGGCTCTGGACCCCATGAGTTCCAGAGAGGCTGTCTCCCATCTCTGCATCTCTGCATTTACAGTCAACAGATGAATTTTCGGAGTTGTCCTTCCGAATCTCCGAGCTGGCCCGGGAGCCTCGGGGACCCAGGGAGCGGAGGGAGGATGGCTCTGGTGAGTAGCTGGGTGGCAGACCAGGGGCTGGGGGGAATGGATGAGGGCCTGAGTGCCCCCATCCTATCTGCTCGCTGATGTGCCCTGCTCTTTCCAGCTGATGGTGACCCTGAGCAGATCGACTTCATTGACAGCCATGTCCCTGGGGAGGATGAGGAGCGAGGTGCTGGCGAGGTGAGGGGCCAGCCCCCGCCTTGCATCCAACCTCCAGGAGAGAGCTGGAGAGAGGGGGCCTGCCCCGGCTTGGGGAGCAGTCCCCTGCTCAGCCCCTCTGCTGTTATTTCTTCAGGAGCAGCGGCCACCAGAACCAAGCCCTGTGGCTGGGGACAGGGAGAGGGCACTGAGCAGCAGGTACCAGAGCCACCTGGGCTGGCAACTCCTCCCTTTACTCCATCACCCTGCCCCTCTCTCCTCTCCCCTGCCCCCGGCTCTACCTCCCGTCCCACCTTTTCCCCTCAGGCGAGAGGAGCCGGCAGGGGAGGAGCGGCGGCGCCCAGACACCTTGCAGTTGTGGCAGGAGCGCGAGCGGCGACAGCAGCAGCAGCAGCAGCAGCAGCAGAGTGGAGTTGGGGGGGCACCCAGGAGGGACAGGTGTGGGCACAGGGCGCCTGCTGGGCGGTGGGCCCGGGCACTGAGCTGCTCTGCCTCTCGGGGTTGGCAGGGCCCTTGCGTGGCACTGCTGACCCACATCTCCTTCATTTTCTAGTTTTCTGAAGGTGGGAGTCAGGGCTTCTGGTGGGGGTGCTGCTGCCTCATCCACGCAGGCCACCTACAAGTATGTGCGGTCCTGGACTCTACCTCCCTCAGTCCTCTCCCTACACGCCCTCCCCAGACCTCCCCCTCAAATTCCCTTTCTGTTTCTCCACAGCAGCACGCCTAAGTCCAATGCCACCCCGCTGGGAGCTTCAGGGGTGCAGGGAGCCCCCACCCCCACCGCTGCCTCTGCCTCTCAGGAGCCCCCTCCCATAGCTGGACCAGGTGGGACAGGGGCTTTGGGAAAAGGATGGGTGCCTGGTTGCCTGAAGGAGGAGTAGGACACTGAGGGGATGTTTCTCTTACCTGCACCTGTCCCCTGGCCCCCAGCAACAGCACCTGCTCCCCGGCCGCTCGGCTCCATTCAGAGACCAAACAGCTTCCTCTTCCGATCTTCTTCTCAGAGTGGCTCAGGTGGGTCTTCCCCCCTCCCCAGTACTAACCCACTGCTCATGCAGCACTAACCCCTGGGCTACGGTTACCCCTACTGGCCTGGGAGTTCTCTGGTCAATTGTCCCTTTGTGTGGAAAATCTCACACAGAGGCAGGAGATGTGGGTGCCAGACACTGCAACCCGGCTGTGAAGTCGATGGTGGATAGTGGAGACAGCCCCACGCTCTCCTTTTTCTCCAGGCCCTTCCTCACCAGACTCTGTCTTGAGACCTCGGCGATCTCCCCAGCTTTTGGATGAAAAGGAGGTGATGGCTCAATTACGCCAGGTATGAGAGGTGGTATCCGCAAGGTGGGGTCTGGGTGCCTTGAGTTTCCTGGCCTCTCTCAGCATCCTCTTTGCCCACCGCGGTGTTTCCACTGAAGATAGAAGGGGCAGGCGGGAGTTCCCTGCTGACCCTGCCTTCCCCCATCCTTCCCCTGCCTCCCAGGTCCTTGAGTCACAGCTGCAGCGGCCCCTGCCCGAGGACCTGGCAGAGGCTCTAGCCAATGGGGTCATCCTCTGTCAGCTGGCCAACCAGCTGCGGCCCCGCTCCGTGCCCTTCATTCACGTGCCCTCACCTGCTGTGGTCAGTTGGGGCCCGGGGCAGGAAGTAGGGGTTGGGACAGGGAACTCCTGTGGCCTCTCCCTTAACTCTCTGTCCTTTCTTACCCACCCCCAGCCAAAACTCAGTGCCCTCAAGTCGAGGAAGAATGTGGAGAGTTTCTTAGAAGCCTGTCGAAAAATGGGGGTGCCTGAGGTATGCGGTGTGTTCTCAGGAGCCTGGGGCTGGTCTCTGGGATGCAGTGTCCTGGGCTCAGCCTAGCACTCTGCATGGATGGCAGGGTTCCATTCACGGGGGTGTCTGCTCCCCAGAAGGAAGCACATCCGCCAGCCCGTCCTGCACGCCTCCCTTCCCTGCACTCTGCATGCTGGCATGGCTCTGGCCCTGGCACCTGAGGTCAAGGGGTGGGAGGGATTGTCTTGCTGCTGCTGCTGCTGCTGCTGACGTCTCTCCTTTGTCCTTGTCCATCTGTCCTACTCTCCCTTCCCAGGCTGACCTGTGCTCGCCCTCGGATCTCCTCCAGGGCACCACCCAGGGGCTCTGGACCACCCTGGAGGCTGTGAAGCGGGTGGGGGGCAGGCCCCCCCCACCCCTCTGGCCCCCTTCTGGTCTGGGCGGCTTCATCCTCTTCTACGTGGTCTTCATGCTGCTGCTCTGTGTCGTCTACACTCGACTCCTGGGTTCCTAGGACCTGAAGTCACCCCCTCCCCACCCCTTCGCCCTATTTCTATTTATAAGACTCCTGT